CAGTAGCTAAAGCAAATCTAAACACTGCCTAATACATGGTGGTACGGAAGTATGTAACTCAAGAGAGTAATATGCTTTGCATGTCACTTATGCATGAAAGTTGCCGAATTTTCTGAAATTACCCGAATGTCCAAGCAAAAAGTTTATTTAGATAATCGGAGCTCGCAACTCGGATCGACTCCTTATTGCCGCGGCACAACAGCTTTCGCAAGCGTTTGGCGGTTGGACGCCGGCTTGGTCCTCAAAATAGGCATCATAAGTTGTTAATTTTCAAATTGCTGATGTTTGACTATATATGGTGTGATCCTTTTCCGTTTTGCCTTTCAAGTTGTTTGGGAAAAGTAGGAATTTCACTCTGTTTTTGACTTTGCTACTATTTCAAGACGAAGATGAGAAGTTTCGTCGTTAATGAAATGAAAAATGAAAATAAATCGGATATGTTTCGAAGAAGGGTTTGTGAATCTAGGAATGCCTTGGTGAGCATAGAAAAAGGAAAATTTTCCACGCTTAGAAAGATTGAGTTGTGAACATTGCGGTCAATTTGATAATAAGGATTTTGAACCCTTAGAATACAAGTGTTGAAAAGGAAAATTTGCTTGAGCTGCCTAAGAAATAACCTTGAAGAATTTAAATAAGATGGTTCATCCCATTTTATCCCTGTTTACATCAGTGAACATGGTGTAATCGTCACATAAGTTTTGTCACACTTGGCGAAAAAATTTTCATATGTTTCTCAAATTTTCTTCGTTCCCACATTTCCAGATTATACGGTGTGGACATTCGAGAGATACTTGCACGCACTCATAAAAGTCAAATTTCGAAAAGTTTGGAATTTTTCCTACTGATTTCCGACAAATTTCTAATTTGCGTTCATGACCCGGATATCCATAAAAAATCTGAAAAAAATAGTTGTGATAAAAAAAATAATGGAAGTCAAGTGCCGTCAGAATGCATTCACATCTACCGTAGCTTATGTCCTTGAAGGCGAAATGTTGCCAATGAGTAGCTGTTCATCCGTTCTCCCCAAATAGGCAACATTTTCGAGAGGAGAGGAAGAAAAGTAACAAGACTTCAACCTAATACATCCATCTCGATTCATCCACCAAAACGACTCTTCTTCCACTTCCACGGACGCAGCCATGGACACATCAGAGACCATGATCAGAGATCAAAGCGCAAACAATGCAAAGCTTCAGTTGCCAACCCCCCACAAACTTGCTCATTTGGTAAAAACACATAAAAATAGATGATAGATGAAGTCCTTATGCCCAAAACTGGGTGTTCCAAGCCTATTTCGTTTATTTTGCCTATTTTCACTACTTGTTTACATCAATGCGCCTGCAGACGAGGATGCAAATAGCACATCTCGTGGTAAACATCGTCTGCGGCAGTGCCGTTTGCAAAACAACACCAATAATCGATGTCTCAACTCGTTTTTGCTCTCGATCTATGCCTTTGCAGTATATTTATTTAAGATTATTCGTTCCAAATACGTTGTCTAACGAAGTTTCAAAGTCATTTGACTAATTGTAAGATTCTCATGGAAAGGCTACTACGTATGTTGTTTCAGAAGTTCTACCCGTTATTTATACCTCTTTTGAACTGCCGATTGTGGGGAAGAAACCATTTTTCATGAACACTGCTTACATCGTTTAAAGGCTCTTTTCTTCTGGTCTTCCGGATATAAATTTAGAAAAATTTTGAACCTATAAAATTC